GCTGTCTTCTACACATTTGTCTTCGGTGTGAGTTTTCTGATGTCTGGCAATCACATGTGGGCTCTCCTTTTGCCTCTGACAATAGATGGTGTTACACCCCAAATGGATGGTGTGTGGCTTGGAGAGAAAAGTGACTGGGAACGAATGATGATGGTTGGTGCCAGGACTGAGGCAAAGAGAGCGAAGGATGGGTCAAAGGAGAGAGAGGGTATGAAATTTAGGTAAGAAGAACAACCATTGGGGTCGGAGGACTGAAGCAAACAGAGGCAAAGCTGGATGTAAAGGGAGAGTGTACGGAATTAGGTGACATCAAGCCAGTTTCTCCCTTTTGGTGAATCAGCTCAATTACAAAGAACTGCAAAAGGAAGGCTCTCTAATAGTCTCTATCCCCTCTCCTCCCCCCCTCCTGTCATCCCCCCTGCTGCTGTCCTGTCTTCTTTGCTTGTGTCTGAGTTGCTTGTTTCGCTGATTGGATGTGATCGATCATCACAGAATTGGATTGACTCAATCGAGACTGAGCTTTTATTCGCTCAAAGAAAGTGGAATCTAATTTACTTTGCGAATATATATAACTGCCAAAGGAAAAAAAAACTAAGAGTGGAACTTCATTGAAGTTAATTGCACCTCTGTCGTTGAACAGAATTGCTTCCAATTAGATCTCTCCCCCCCCCACCGCAACCAACCATTTCTAGATTTATGCGTGTCATACGGTGGCTTCCAATTAGATTGAAATCCTTCGAAGAACATTACCTTTAACGGACCAGCGACTGAAATGTTTCCCATTAGATTGAAGTTGATTGAAACTAGGTTCCCGGAGTGGGCTGAAACCACTTGACTGGCCGCGAGGAAAAAAAAAAACTTTTATTTAAATTATTTTTAATTTCGTACCCTGAGGCAAGTTTTACTTGTGTCATACTTGCGGTGCATCAATGTGCTGTGCGATGCAGTGCGGTGCGTGGCGCGCTGCGCGCCCCTCGGCGGTGCACAAACTGATGTGCGATGCGCTGTGCGGCACTTCAATGCGCAGTGCACTGGTGCGCTGGTGCGCCGGGGGGTGCGCGGGCCGCACGAATTTGCACGAGTGGTGCCCGCGGACATGCATGTACTTTCTTTCTTTTTTTTCTCTCTCTCTCTCTATGAAACGGTTTCACCCAGTTGACCTGACATTGCAGTCGCCGAGATTCGATCCCTATTCGATCCCTAGACCTGTGCCACAACCCTGTACATTGATCCCGTGTGCTGAGTGAGATTCGATCCCTAGACCTACCCTATACCTGTACATAGACCCTGTGTGCTGAGTATGAGTTGATCCCTAGACCTGTTCCACATCCCAGATTAGTCTGTAGTTTGGGCAGTAGGACTTGATCCCTAGGTCTGTAGATTAGCAGCTAGGTCTGTTACCGATAGGCTTAGGAAGTCTGTTCTAGAAGTCTCTACGGAGTCTGTGAGGACTGGAATCTGTCTGTAGGTCAGTATAGGCTAGAAGGTCGTAGGACAGTCCAGCCAGCAAGTACCAAGGGTAGGAGCTTCACGTGGGGAAGGTTCTGGAGCACACTGTGGGTTTCACACGTTTTGGCCCAGAAGGCCAAACGTCTAGAAACTTCCCTGGGCCACACGTTTTGGCCCAGGCCCACACGTTTTGAGGCAGGCCCGGGTACCTCCAAAGAAGTACAAATAAAGAGGCAGCGTCCAGCCATTCATTCATTCGCCTGTGTGCCATGCGGAAGAGCTGCCTTGGTATCTTGTGCGTGGAGGACTGCAGGTGCCCGGAGAAGAAGTGGGCTGCGAAGAAGACAGCCATAGCGAACCAGCGGGAGAGAGACACCGGCGGCCATAGCTAGGAGGAGGAAGACGACGGCGGCCATAGCTCCCCGGCTGTTGGTGCGGACAGGGTATACAGAGTGTGTGTGTCTGTGCAGCGTGGACATTCAAGGAGATCCTCGTACGTGCGTGCATGTGAGGGTGAGGAAGAGTGAGGCTGGTGGTAGAGACAGTGTTCGGCGGCCATAGCTGCAAGTTGTACAGTTGTTATGAACAGAGTTTTAAGCAAGTCCGTTGTTGATTCTGAGTTCACGAGTCTGGTTTGCCATCGGTTCTCATGTGTGCATGTTGCGGGCAAGTCCAGAGTCGAGTCTGATTGCATTGGTATCAGAGCTGGTTCCCGTTGTCCACGTTGGAGCTACAACAACGAGTTGGAGGAAGGAGAAAGTCGCCATAGCTGGAGCTAGGAACACACACACACACACATTCACACACACACACACACACACACACAGAGAGAGAGAGAGAGAGAGAGAGAGAGAGAGAGAGAGAGAGAGAGAGAGAGAGAGAGAGAGAAGGGNNNGAGAGAGAGAGAGAGAGAGAGAGAGAGAGAGAGAGAGAGAGAGAGAGAGAGAAGGGGGGACGACAGCCATAGCTGCCAAGCTCGGGAAAGAAGACAATCACTAAGAAGAAAGAGGTAGACGTGGAGAGAAGGAAGAAGAAAGTGATGAAGAGGGAGACGAAGTCAGCCATACCCAAGGTGAAGAAGACCAAGGTTTTGACAAAGTAGCAGGTCCACCATAGACGGAAGGTTGGAAGGTTGAGCAAGGGAGTTGACCAACATTGACCGAAAGTTGACCAACGTTGACCACGAGTTGACCAACGTTGACGGGGTGTTGACCAAGGGTTGACCAAGGGTTGACCAAGAGCGTTGACCAGGCGTTGACCGAAGTCGACCACGACGTTGACCAGGAGCGTTGATCGGCGAGTTGACCAAGACCGTTGATCGGAGCGTCGGCCCAGCTGGAGCGAGAAGATTACCGGTACTATCTCTCCATGCCCTGGCCTATCCCTTACCCCGTGGATGTGCACCTTCACCTTGGTACTTGCTGACGTCAAGTCTATCAAAGTCAGTCAGTCAGATCTGTCCAGGTCAGTAGGACTCTGTGATTGTCGTCATAGAACCGTGAGTCTAGCCCGAGTAGTGAGTCAAGACCCTGTGATTGTCGTCATAGAACCTGTTTGGTCTACATGTTGAGGCGGGGAAACGTTGCTGATTGTGCAATCACCATGGTGACCCTAAGGTCAGGAACTAGCACCACCCCCTACAGCAAGGATTAGGGAAGGAAAAGATGGAGAAGAGGGAGTTAATCAAGCAGGCCAAGATGTTGGCCTTGCTGGAGGAGCAAGAGGCGAAGAAGAGGCAGCTGGAGGAGTAAATGAGGAAGTGGACGCAGGAGCAGGAGGAGAAAATGGCGGCTATACAAGCGAAGGTGGAGAAAGAAGAAGAAGAAGAAGAAGAGGAGCCATTGGAAAGAAGAAGAGGTGAAGCTAGTACAAGTAAGGAGGAGCAGATTGAGAAGTTGACACAAGAGTGGACTGCACACTTGGAGCTGGGGGAAGATAGGGAGGCAAAATTGGCCATACCCCAAGCAGAGAGAGAGGCGGCGAGAAGGGAGTTGGAAGCAAAAAGGGACCCGGTGAGGAGAAAGGCGAAAGAGGAGGAACAGCAAAGGGCATGGAAGTGGCGTACATCCCAAGAGAAAGTTAGGCGTTTGGAGGCGGCAGAGCGAGCAGAAAGGGACCTGAAGGCGGAGGAGACCAGGATGGGGAAGATCAGGGAAGAGACTGAGATAGCCACTAAACTTGATACCCTGACCCAGAGTGTGGAGTCTCTACTAATTGCACATCGTGAGCAGACGCAGTACATCCGCAACTTAGAAGTAAACTCGATACCCTGGCAATTAGTAAGACAAAAATTCTGCACTGGCGACATTGAAGGCGCCAAGTTAGCGACTCCTAAGGAAGAGGAGCCGACCCCACCACGCCGTGAGAAAGTCAAGGTCCGTTTCCCCGAACCCTTCAGTGGAAAGAAGGGGGAAGATTTCGATAACTGGGAAGCCAACGTGCACTCCTATCTCTGCTTACAAGGAGTCACACCTGAGGACCACGTTTTGGTGGCCTTCTAGGCTCTTCGAGATGAGGCGACCAGCTTTGCTAGGTCGCTCGCCCGCGCTGCAAATTGCGAGAATGATATGGTCACCTATTCTAGACTAACACCCCTCTTCGAATTCCTGAAATCGCTTCGAGAGAGATTTTCTGTTGTGAAGCGGGGGCTCAAAGCCTCCGACAAACTCCAAATGATACACACTCGCCGGTGGAGGAGTGTGCATGCGCTTAAGTCTGCTATGGATGAATTGATTGTGGTCCCTGGCCATGGAGTAACGGATGCCCGACTTCTTAACCTCTTCTACCGTGCCCTGCCTGAAAATATTCAGGGACACTTCTTTGAGAAAAAGAATCAGCAGGGCATGACTTATGATACTCTTAGTCGGGAGGCAGTAGCATTTGCCGCCCAAGCATCGCCAGTTACCACGTTCTGGCACAAGCACTTGTCAAAGAGAAAAACGTGGCCTCCCCCCGGCCGCGACAGCAGCGTAGGTTCTCCCCTGACCAGCGCTACTATCTCGCTCCTCTAGTCCCCACTCAATGGCAAAGTAGGGAACCTCGCCTGCACCGCCTTCCTTAGACTATCTTTGGCCTTGATTTGGCCGGAGATGGTGCGTCCCTTCCGCAAAGAGGAGGACAAAGGTCCGGCCCGGGGTGGCCGAGGACAGGGCGGCCAGGGGATTGGCGGCAATGGCAACCGTCAAGCGGGAGGAAGGGGAGGTCCCCCGTCTAACCGTTCGCGTTTTAGTTGGTCACCTCCCAGACAAGGATGGTGGCACCCAGGCCGGCCCGAGGGCCGACCCTGGGATGATCTGGGCGTAGAGCAAAAGGTATGGCAAGAACGCATCAATAGCTCTCAGTGCGTATTCTGCGGGACCCAGGCCACATTATAAAATTTTGTCCTAAGTATAGGGACCGTGCTGCGACTGGGGCAGCAAAAGACAACCGCCGGTAGGGGTCGCAACTGGCCCTACCCTAGGAGTATGTGGATTTGAGTGTGCCCGCGATGTAGAGTCTCCCACTCCACATATCTCCATGGCAGAGGTTGCAGGCCGGCGTCTAGTAGGCTGTCCAAAGACTGCTTGTGTTAGGGTCTCTCTAGATGCTTCCCTCACAGGCTTAGCTGAGGAGTTGAGAGAGAGGAGGCAAGCCTGGGCCAAGATGAAGAAGGATAGTAAAGGACAACTGATCCTCACAGACATAGAGATATTGAGAACTAGAGTAGGAGCCTTGATAGACAGTGGGGCGACTAGGAGTTATATTTGTCGTAAAGCGCTGAAGAACTTAAAGCTAAATCTAAAAGTCCAACGCTTAGAAGAACCTGTAGTCAGCATCCTCGCAGACAACAGTAGGATGCGCATTGAAGAGTATGTCGAGGGGGTCCATGCCTACTTTCGCCTCGAGAAAGACGGGAAGGTAGAGAAAGTATTGCACTCCTTGACCCTCCTCGTAGAAGAGAGTCTCCCGTTTGACATTGTGTTAGGCACAGATTGGGGAGAGGCAGCAGGAGCCAAGCTTCACCTTAGAGAGCACGAGTGTAGGCTCCCTAGCGCGTCAGGCGAAGTTAAGCAAGTCCGCCTGTTCCATGAGTCCGGAGTAGATAATCCCCTTGCCCATTGCTGCCTTAGCGCTCCTGCATTCGCCAGACTTGTGCGAAAGGAGCAGCTTGAAGAGCAGGTGTTTGTAGCCTATGTTTGGCCGATTTCAGACCAACCCAAGGAAGAGGAGAAGATCCATCCTACTATAGCCAGTCTGCTGGAAGAGTACAAGGACTTATCTGAAGCACCTTCAGGAGTAGTGACGAGACCGATCCAGCACTGTATAGAGATAGAACCTGGCAGTAGAATGCCTAAGGAGGCAGTCTACAGGATGTCTCCCAAGGAGTTAGAGGAGCTTCGCAGACAGTTAGATGAGCTCCTAGAAAAAGGATGGATGAGGCCTAGTTCGTCACCGTTTGGCGCACCTGTTCTGTTTGTCCCAAAGAAGGAGGGAGAGCTTCGCATGTGTATAGACTACAGGGGACTGAACGCTATCACAATTAAGAATGCGGAGCCACATATGGATGACTTGTTAGATCGCGTGCAGGGATGCAGGTACTTGTCAAAGATAGACCTGAAATCGGGGTACCATCAGATAGAGGTGCATCCTGGCGATCAGTATAAGACGGCGTTCAGGACAAGGTATGGGCATTACGAGTTCATAGTGATGCTGTTTGGACTTACTAATGCACCAGCTACATTTCAGCGCTGCATGAACGACTTGTTTAGACCATGGTTAGATAGGTTCGTTGTAGTGTACCTAGATGACATCCTAGTGTTCAGCAAGACCCTCGAGGAACATGAGGGCCATTTGCAGCAGGTTCTAAGCAAGTTGAGAGAGTCTAACTTCAAGATTAGCCCGAAGAAGTGCGAACGGGCCAAGACACAAGTCCTTTACCTAGGCCATGTACTATACGGTGATGGCATTCGGCCTGAGGACAACAAGATTGCATCCATTAGAGATTGGCCAACTCCTAGGACGCTGACAGAGTTGCACTCATTCCTAGGACTGGCTAACTACTACAGGAAGTTCGTGAGGAACTTCTCCATGATCGCTGCTCCCCTTAGTAGACTTTTGAAGAAAGAGACTATCTGGAAGTGGGACAGAATTGTATGTCAGCCTTCAAGAAATTGAAGAAGGCTTTGATAGAGTACCCTGTCCTCAAAGTCGCTGATCCATCATTACCATTCGTTGTTACTACAGACGCGAGTCAGTATGGCATAGGTGCTGTCTTACAGCAAAATGACGACAACGGTTATAGGCCCGTAGAGTTTATGTCAGGCTGCCCTCAGAGAAAGTCGCAGCATCGACATATGGAATAGAACTCTATGCTCTTTGGCAGGCTCTAGAGCACTGGAAACACTACCTGCTTGGGAGGCACTTTAAGGTTTACTCAGACCACGAGACTCTTAGATGGCTAAAGACACAGGCCAAGATGACGCCCAAGTTGACTAGATGGGCTGCTGAGATAGACCAGTATGACTTTGAGTTGAAACCCGTCAAAGGCAAGTATAATGTGGTAGCTGATGCGCTAAGTAGGAGATCTGATTACTTCGTTTGCAATAGTGCATTACCTAGACATAGGGGCTGATCTGCTGCAGAAAGTGAGAGATGCTTATGCACAGGACCCGATCTATAGTGAGCTGCGGAAAAGAGTAAGGGAAGCCCCAAATAGTGAGCCACACTACCGGACCACTAACGGGCTACTGTTCGAGAAGACCAATGTCGCTTACAGACTATGTGTCCCCAATGATGAAGAAATCCGTAGCCTGATTCTAGGGGAATGCCACGATACGGAAGGACACTTCGGATGGTAGAAGACCCTTAGCTAACCTGATGATGCCTGATACACGTGGCTTGGAATGAAAGCAGACTGCATAGAGTATGTGCGCAGCTGCAAGGTGTGTCAGCGTAATAAGACTACAACGAGAGCCCCTCTAGGTCTTCTTAGACCCTTGCCTATTCCATTAGGACCCGGAGATTCGGTTTCTATTGACTTCATGGATACTGGGGTCTAAAGTAGGCATGACAAGACTCAAGTCATGGTCATAGTAGATAGATTTAGCAAGTATGCAGTATTTGTTCCCCTGCCTCAGAGGCATGTACAAACTTAGTCATTAGTAAGTTTTTCGATTTCTGGGTAAGTGAGCATGGCTGCCGCTGTCCATAGTCAGTGATAGAGACACGTGGTTTACTAGTCAGCATTGGCAGGATCTTATGCAAGTCTATGGGTCTAAGTTGTTGATGTCGTCAGGATGACACCCAAAGACTAATAGCCAGACAGAGCAGATGAATAAGATCTTGCAACTGCTACTTAGAATGTATATTAGACCAGATCAGATAAACTGGGATGAGATGCTTCCCAAAGTAGCAAGTGCCTACAATGACAATGTTCATCTAGCTACCTGCAGGACTCCTAACGAGCTACATAAGTCCTTTAGACCAAGGCGGCCGTTTGAGGGACTAAACCGGGACCAGATACACAGACTACCACCCGGCACACGAGAGTTTGCATTACAGCATGAGCAGGAAGTCGCTAAGGTCATAGACAATCTGAGAAAGGCCCAGCATCGGATGATAGAGCAAGCTAACAAGCACCGCCGACCTTCACAGTTTCAGGTAGGCGATCTAGTCTGGGTCAAGTCAAAGGAGTTCACACCCAAGGAAAACATCTCGCAGAAGCTTTTACCTGCGTATAGAGGACTGTGGCCTGTCCTAGAAGTCAAAGGAGGAGAGGACGGCCCGTCATATACTATAGAGATTCCAGCACACCTCCATACGTACCCAGTCTTCCATGCATCTAAGTTGTTACCCTGCACCACATCTGACAGATTACCTTCTAGGAGATCGATGATTCCGCCAGACATGGATGGTGCATATGATATAGATCACGTAGTGGAAGAGGATGTGTTTAGGACAGGAGGTCAAGGACGTCCCCAGAAGCAATATAAAGTTCGGTTCACATACCAGGAACCCAAGGACGACCGATGGTTCACAAGAACAGAGCTTTTGGAAACCGCTGCCGACATAGTTCACGCCTATGAGAGGGAAAGAAAGGGCAAAGGTCCTGCCTTGAGTTAGGGTGTTCTCGGACGACCTCGAATTTAGGAAGGCGGGAGTGAAACAGTTTCACCCAGTTGACCTGACATTGCAGTCACAGAGATTCGATCCTTAGACCCGTGCCACAACCCTGTACATTGATCCCGTGTGCTGAGTGAGATTCGATCCCTAGACCTACCCTTTACCTCTACATAGACCCTGTGTGCTGAGTAGGAGTTGATCCCTAGACCTGTTCCACATCCCAGATTAGTCTGTAGTTTGGGCAGTAGGACTTGATCCCTAGGTCTGTAGATTAGCAGCTAGTTTTGTTACCCATAGGCTTAGGAAGTCTGTTCTAGAAGTCTCTACGAAGTCTGTGAGGACTGGAATCTGTCTGTAGGTCTGTGTAGTCTAGAAGGTCGTAGGACAGTCCAGCCAGCAAGTACCAAGGGTAGGGGCTGCACGTGGGGAAGGTTCTGGAGCACACTGTGGGTTTCACACG